CTGGGCCTGCAGCCATCCCGCACCCTCCAGAACATCGGGACGCTCTTGAAGGCCAAGCCTGAGGATTACAGGCAGGTCAGCAAGGGTCTGCCGCGCCGCCTCAGCACCACGGTGGCCGCCATGCGGGGTGTGAGCTACTGACCCCACGGCCCATCCGAGGAGAGGCTCGGGGCTGGTATCTGGGGGCACCACGGCTCTACAGAGTGGACTCCCCTCAAAACCTGCCAGCAATGAGGCACAGGTTGCTTTAAAAAGACTTGGTTCTTTTGTATAATGAAAAAGGTTGTACGTAAGAGGTATTTTATTTATTACAAAGGACTTTTCAGATGATTTTTAAAAAATGATCTCATTTTAAAAATGGAATTAATAAACGAAATGAAAGAAGGCTGTTTCTTCCCCCAGTGAGTCTCTGAGTGCTGCCCACGGGTCCGTGCTGGGCAGCGGGCATGTGGCTGTGAGGGGGCCGTGAGCAGGGGACAAGGCCCAGTGCTGGCGGGAGGCTGCAGGGTGAGCGGGGGCCACCCCAGACCTTCAGGGTGCAGCTGTGCAGCAGGGAGCTCTGGGCTGGGCGCTGACGGGGCCCAGGGTCAGCAGGACAAGGCAGAGGGAGGGAGGAAGCTGGGTTGGGGGAGGTGGGTGGCCACATGGGGTCTCGCAGGCCCCGGGAGGACTCTGGCTTTTTCCTTTAGAGGTTTGTGGGGCGATGTGAACTGCATGCATTCTTTTTTCTTGTTTTTTGTCAGTTGCTTTCATAACTGGTTAAGATTGTGTTTGGCTTAAAAGTAACAGAAAATAATGTGATTTGAGTGACGAGAACAAGGAGGAATTGACTTTCCTCAACAAGGAGAAGACAAAGGCCGCCTCCCAGAACTCATTCTGTGCCTGCACAGCCTGGAGCAGGACCAGCCAGGGTCATCTCCACCCTTTCCCGGGGCTGGACTCCGCCTCATGGCAAGGACCCCTTACACCTGTGCTCTGAGAAGAGGGAGGCGGGAGGGGCAGCAGAGCAGCAGCGCTCTCTTTCCCATCGTGAGGGCAGGGGCTTTGCCAGCAGCCCCGCCCAGACGTCTCCCCAGCGGCCAGGGATGCTGGGAAAACAGGAGCAGAACCAGCTCAGCCAGCGTTTCTCAGCCTGGCCCTCCTGATGCCTTGGGCTAAGAGCTCGTCCCTGTGGAGCTGTCCCATGTCTTGCGGGGGGGGTGGGGGGGCAGCGTGCCCAGCCTGTGGCGCAGACAGCAGTGGCGGAGCCCTAGTGGCCTCCTGAGGACGTCTTCAGAAACTCCCTGAGGGGCACACTCACTGCAGCGTGACTAGATCCATCAGGAGTTGCTGCTGGGCTGGGCTGATTGCCTCCCTGCACAAAGCCAGTTTTCCTTGGCAAGGAAAAGGGAAGTAGCAGCTGTCTGTCTCAGGGGCCGTTTATTGGAAGTGAACACTTCTCGGGGTCCCTGGGCCCAGCTAAGCTTCACTTCCTCTGGATTCTCTCAGCTAATCCTCACCACAGCTGTGGAAGGCAGAGGTATTATCTCTGGTTTGGAGAGGTTTGGGGTCTTCCTGGGGTCACTCGACTACCAGAGCTGGGGCTTGGAGTGAGCCTGGTGACGATGGCATCTGCACTTCTGACCCATGCTAGGCAGCCTTCCTTGTATGTGGTGAGGGGACCCACTGTGGACACCTGGTCCTGGCGGGTCAGCGTGCTTGTGCCTGCTCTGTAGAGCTGCACCCTGCACCTCCGCAGGCTTCCAGGGCGAGGGTCCCCTGGGACTGTTCTTGCATCCTTGGAACCAGCCTGACTGCCCAACACAGCACCCACTGGGAACCCACGCTGAGAGCGACATTTGGGTTTCTCCCGTGGTGGAGCACAGACTGCCCCTGGCAGGAGGCAGGCCTGGCTCCTTCCTTGAAGAAGCGAGAGCTGGAGACCTGAAATGGGACTTGCTCCTGGAAGATGGAAACTCACCATGGTGACCTTCGTGCTGCTCTGTGAGAACCACAGAAGAGATGTCTGGAATGGTCAGGCTTGGGCTGGATGTGGCTTTACCACCTCCCGGCTGTGTGACCTCAAGAAAGGCACTTCCACTCTCTGTGCCACTTTCCCTAATCTGAAAACCAAGGGTCATAATGGTGCCCAACTCAGGATTATTTGCAAAGCCATTGAGATACAGTGGAGGCAATGGAGCCCAGTAAGTTCATGATCGATGCTCATCTTAGTCCTCCAGCGTCTATGACCTCACTTCCCTTTTGTATTAGAAGTGAGTCATCGAATGCCATTTTCCAGACAATTGGGCATTGCCAGCCTGAGTTCTCATTCCTAAAAAGCTCTGGGATGGCCCCAGGGGAGAGGGCTGCCAGGCTGCTTGATGGAGCCTTCAGAGATGGGGCCATCATCCCAAGGCCTAGCCCCACTGAGAGCAAGATGGCAGGATGAGGCCCACCATCAGCCTGGTCCCCACTCACAGCCCACAGGCAGCTCCAGAATATCTCTAAACAGATCCTCTTATGGTGTCTGTCAGGGCTGCCCTCCATAGATCCCCCTGGGGTCCCCGGGCCAGGCAGCACCTCCTGCACCCTGTCACAGTGAGGGGTTCAGGATGAGCGTGTGGCCCAGATGGATCCAACTGAGCTGCTTCCTTGGAGCTCTCACGGGGTGCTGAAGGAGAGCGAGCTCTCTTTCCTCTGTTGCTGAGCTCATGGGGGTGGAGCTGGGTTGAGGGACGTAAAGACGTTCTGGAGGAGCAGAACGTGGAGAGAGCCTGTTTAAGGGGACGTCGATGCAGAAACACCAGCTCCAGGGAACCCTGCACGCAGCCATGCTGGGCTTTGCCTACAAGAGCTAATAAATTCCCTTCAAAGCTTAAGCCAGTTCAGATGGGCCTGTGACCTTGGGCTGCAAAAGGAGGTGACGATCAGCACCTGCCTGTCCACAGGTCACACAAGATGCCGGAGCTCCCATCCGGAAACGATGCTGTTAGGGCCACTGGCACCGCGCCCGGCAGCTGGGAAGGCGGCTTTGCCACTTCTCTGATTTCCGTGGTTATAACTGAGCACCACAGGCTGTATCATTTATAAAGAATAAAGGTTTATTTAGGTGAAGGTTCTGGAGGTTAGAAGTTCAAGATCGAGGGGCCTGCTTCTGCTGAGGACCTTCCTGCTGCATCGTGACATGTCAGAGGGCGTCCCATGGCGAGACACAGCAGGTGTGCTGACTCGGGTCTCTCTTCCTCTTCTTACGAAGCCACTAATGCCATCAAAGGTGCTCACCCCGATGACTTTAATCCCAGTGACCTCCAAGAACCATTAACTGTGAATGTGGGCCAGGCTCTGAAGCCGGAGCTGCTTCAAGACTTGAACCTGGTGGGTGGCAGCAGGGGGCTGGCTGCAGTGGTCAGCTGTCTAGACCGTCAGGCCCSCTTCTTTGGGAATTGCTCCCTGATCTCTTCCTGGGAAACCATCAGGTTTGTCAGATTTAGCAATAAAAAATCCAGGACGCTCACTTAAATTTAAATTTCAGAGAAAACAACAAATGGTTTATTMGTATATGATAAATATTGCATGGATATACTTATACCGAAAACCATTTTTATATTTATCTGAAATTCTAATTTAACTGAGCAGCTTAAATTTTCTCTGGCAACCCGAGGAGCCATTTCCCATTACCTGGGACCAGGTGATTCCGCTGGGGGCCAACCAGTCGGTCAGCCTACCCAGCTGGACCACTCATTGGTTCAGAAACAGGCACGTGACCCAGTCAGGGGCCAATGAGCATCAGCCTGGGGGCTGCAAATGCAAGGACAGGTGGCCTTGGGGGAGCAGAGGAGACCCAACRGTTTGAGCTGCTTGAGAGTGTCTTGTTTTAACCCGTTTCGTCCCACTGTCCTTGATGTGAGATACTACAAAAATCTAAACATAGTATGCAATATACAATTATTAATAACATAAYTATGTTAGTATTTAATAGACATGAGCTCTAGACTGGGACTTCTAACCTATTTTAATGCACCTGTGTCAATTGCATGGAAACATTCACAGAACTGAAAACTTGAGACTTGATGGGTTAAGCTGGTTTGAGTTGCTGTCTCTGTCCTTGAAACCCAAAGAAATAGTTGGGTGGCATGGTAGCCATTAGCTGTGGCACACTGTGATCCYAGCTGCTCGGGAGGCTGAGGCAGGAGGATCTCAAGTTCAAAGACAGCTTCAGCAACTGCAAGGCACTCAGCCACTCAGGGAGACCCCGTCTCTAAATAAAATACACAGTAGGGCTGGGGGTGGGGCTCAGTGGTCAAGTGCCCCAAGTTCAATCCCTGCTGCCCCCTCTCCCCCCCAAAAAAGAARAAGCCGCTAGGCCTCTGCTTCAGGAACAGCTGGAAAGGAACTGTAGGAATCACAAGAGAGAACGCTCTTAACCTGCTYAAGACCTTGGCTCTCAGCCAGGACAGACGCCCTTCCTGTCCCAGGCACGCTGAGGACCTCCGCTGCCCACCAAGACAAGGAGCAAAGCTGGACGCAATGTCTTCCACTTTTATTTTGTAGAACGACGCATGTGCCACCTGTAGGCCCCCACTCCTGGTGCTACCCCTGCCCCCCCTCCACTGCTGCGTTTGCTAAAAGCCTGTTCACAGAGGTCAGTCAAGGCCAGTAAGGGAAAGGCCACCGATTCTGGGGAACATGGTAGACCSACCTGGCGTCTCTGGGGCAGTGACTGACACTGGCCTGACACCAGGAGAGGGGTCTCTAGAGCCAGAGGGCAGGTCAGGTGGGCCCAGGACAGGAAGGGCAGGAGCCAGGTGAGAGCCCAGTTCTGGCGTCCTGCACCGTGACCCTGCGGACCCTGCAGCCTGGGCCTGGCAGTGGCTACTGGCCTCTCTACGGAGGGGGCACGGGCCCTGGACACCGGTGGTCCTGGCTCTCTGGAGAGGGCACCCTACAGCAAGGCCCTGAGCCACGGTCTCAGCTTCTCAGCTTCAAGTTCGTGAGCCGCCMGGGGTGGGCAGGGGCAGGGTCTAGATGGCGTCACCCTCACTGTCAGACTCAATGGTGTCCAGCGGCTGCAGACGCAGGGAGTCGTAGTTMGGGGGCGGGGTGCCCGGGATGGGCAGCGGCTGCCCGTGGGGGTAGCCCTCGGCCTGGCTGGCGGGGTCGGGCTGGAAGCCGAAGTTGGTGTGGGCCTCCACCAGCTCGGCCACGGTGGGCGGGGGGCTGTCACAGGGAGCCCGGGCCCGCCTCCGCCGCAGGCTCCTGAGGAAGGCCACCAGCCTGATGACGGTGATCCACAGGAAGTCGATGATGATCTCCCCAAACTCGATGAGGCACAGCACGGAGCCCCCCATCCAGAAACCAAACTGGCCGCCCAGGTTGGAGAGCAGCCAGACGATCTGTGGGGAATGGGGCGCTGAGGGCCTGGCTGGGCGGAGAGTGGGCACGAGCTCTGGCCCCTCGCCCRGCTCAGGGGCTCCTGTGGGGTGCGCAGTTGACTGGGAAGGGAAGGGGACAGGGTGACCACCTCAGCCCGGGGAAATAGCTCAGCTGGTTGGAGGGACCTTCCTGATGGCCACTCTTTGGGGTGTCACGAGCCTCCCCAAACTCACGTTGTTGGCTGCTGACTCCTCGATGGTGCGATAGTTGAATTCTTGGAAGTAGATGTTGAGCTTGACGATGCCGCTCCTGCGAGGCAGCAGGAGGCTGGGACCGGGGCTCCCTGCACACCCCGGGAGGGAAGCCACGGGGCCACCCGGCCCTCCCCTGCTCTGACTTGCTCACACTGCCAGGAGTGTGACCAAACAGGTCACCTCGCCAGCCTCCCTGCACCGCGGGGCCACAGCACCTACCCTGTGGACCCCTGTCCTGCCATCTTCCTGGACGCTCTGGCCTGGGACAGCCCCAAGGGTCAGCTCTGAGCTCCCCTTTCCCCAGGTCTAGGGAGGCCAGGCCACATTCGGTGACCCGCCCACATTCGGTGACCCTGCACAGAGTGCTGAGGARTTCTGCGGGGATTAGGGCCCCTGGGGCAGGGAAGGGTGGCTGAGAGGGGTCTCCCTATTCATGTGTGTTCTTTGCTTCTTATTTGAACAGTCCCCGTTTCTCACCCACTTCCTACACGGACCCCCCTGATCTCTCAGGCACATTGAGGCTCCCTCCCTCCTGTCCCTGAAGGGGAGGGGGCTCCACAGACCCTCACTGCTGTGAGCCCTTTTTGCATCTGTCTCTGGGCTTGAGCATCCTGGTGCTATGGACTGTGTCTTCCCTGTGCTCAACACACATTTGTGCTGCGCAGGTGGAGAGAGACGGGGAGGGGTGGGGGGGAGGGATGGGGGAGGGGCTGGTGAAGACCCCATCCTCCTGGCTGCCTTCCTCCCTCTTGCCTTCGGGGCTTCCCTCCCTAGCCCTGCTCCTGGATCTGACCCCCTCCCCCAGGCCCTGGCTCCTCCCCTTCCCTGCTTCCCAGCCCCCCAGGCTTCAGGCTGACCTGCTCACAGTGATGTTGGGGCTCTGGTCCCGCTCCTGAGACAGGACGTGGAGAATCCAGTCCTAGAACCCAAGAAGGCAACTAAGAACAAGGTGCTCACACCTCACATTCCCCCCATCGCGGTCCATGGTCCATTGTGGTCCATGGTCCATCGCGGTCCATGGTCCATCGCGGTCCATGGTCCATCGTGGTCCATGCTACCAGCGGGGAAGAGGAACACAGCCCTGCACCTTCCTGAAGCCCCCAGGGACCGCAGGAAGGGGCCCTAGGAGGAGGCCGCCGGGGAAGCTGCGGCTGCTGTTGGCAGGAGGGGAGCCCGGGTCTCCAGCCATMTTCTGGGCAGGCCTGGCCACAATGGACCTTGTCCCAGGTCCATTCCCACCCCTTGAACTTGCCGTCCCCTCTGCGTGGCTCCTCTGGCTCTGCCCACCGCTGGCTCAGCCTCTGGGTTTCAGCTCAGATGTCGCCTTTGTAGAGGGGCGACCCTGACCCCTCTGTGTGCTCTCCTGCTTMCTCCCTCACAGCCACCATTGACCTTGATCTTACTTCTGTGTACGTGACTAGACTGTAAGCTCCACGAGGGCAGGACCCTGGGGCCCATCTCATCCTCTGCAGTGTCRCTGGCCCGGTGCCTGGGGAATGTCGGTGGGAGAGCAGAAGGGAGGGAAGGAAGGAGGAAAATACCACCCCCCAAAGATGGGGACCTGTCGTCAGCCCAAAGATGGGGACCAGGAGAGTGGCCACTCCCACCGTCTCACCTCGGAGGCCTCAGAGGGCCAGTCAGCCATGGAGATAGTCATCTTGTACTGGGTGTCACTGGAAGACAGAAGYCAGCCCTGTTGCTGTCCTGCCAACRTCGGCCCCCCTCCCTGCTGGCCCACGGCAGTGCCCACGTCCCCTGGCCACACTCACTTGCAGGACTCCTTGCACATGCTGATGCACGTCTCTCTCAGGGCCACGCTCATCCGCAGGTCTAGGTAGCAGTGGGCTGGGCGGGAGAGAGGAATGGACAATAGGGGTGGACGGTGGTCTGGGGCTCCACCCTTCACCCTGTTCTGCCCTCCTGGCCCAGGGCCACCCGAGGCCTGAGGTTAGATGGGGATGTGGTGTCTCAACCCACGCTCCATGGTCATGGGGAATCATTGCCACCCTGACTCCAGCCATCTCCAGCCATTTTGCCGCAGCCTAACCCTGGGATGCTTCCCTCGGGTGCCCTAGACCCAGCTCGGGACCCCCTGGGGAGCCCTCTCCGTCTCTGCCCGTGGATGGGGTTTTCTCCTCAGCCCTGTTTTGTACTTTATTTAGAGACAGGGTCTCACTGAGCTGCTCAGCACCTCGCTTTTGCTGAGGCTGGATTTGAACTCACGATCCTCCCGCCCCAGCTTCTTGAGAGGCTGAGGATTACAGGTGTGGGCCACTGCACTTATGTTTGTTTTAAGAGGTGGCRGGACCCCTACTGCTGACCACACCCAGGTTGTTGGATTCCAGGCCACCAGGGCTTTCAGGCCTGGGCTCCAGCTCCGTGGGAGCCCAGCAGGGGCTCCTTGTCCTGTGATTCCAGGGGGCAGCCCTTGGAGGGCATCACCATCGGGACTCCATCACTTTCTCCTCGAGCCCAGCATGCCACCGAGAGGCCAGCAATGCCACTCAGACATGGACACACCYGCTAAGCACGCACATGGCCTTGTGCACACGTGTGCACCCAAGCCAGGATGCACGACGCAGACACTGGAAGCCACCTGTGCCTGAGCACAGCACGCACAGACAGGTCCTGCCATCCCCAAGTGCTCCTGCACACTCAGGTGCAAACACAGACACGCCCTTGCACACGTGCATTGGAAAACACAACCACACACACACCGTGCTGTCTCCCGGGCCCATTCCCAGGCTCATGCCTGTGCTGGCATTTGTGTGGCACACAGACACATGCCCTGGAGGACCGACGGACTCCCGCTCCTGTGTGTTTCAAGCAGGCACTTCATGGAGTTGGGGAGACAGGGCTGAGTTCCTGCAGACAGGCCTGGGATGGGTGGTAGCAGACTGTGGACAGAGGCGGGGCCGCCCTGGCACGCCCCAGGGCCCTGCACGGGGCACCCAGCTCTCCTCTCTGCTCTGTGGACACTGGCCCCAGCGGTCGTGAACCTGCACTCACCCCAGTCTGGGAAATCCTGGTTGTTGCAGTAGCTCTCSCCCTGGGGCAGTGGGTACAGGTAGTGGCCGCAGCTGCAGTTATGGATCATGTGGTCTTGGAAGCACGAGTGGAGACAGGCCTGGAGATTGGGGAGGGAACACAGACCTGGCTAGTAATGTCCCCTCTCTGGTGGCAGGAGAAGGACCCCAAGAACTTAACACCCAGGTCAAGGGAGCTGGGGCCCCGGAGAGAGGCCCTTTGGCCTAAGATGCAGGCTTGAGATGACCACGTTGTGGCGACGGACCCTGACATTGGGGTGTGGCCGTCCTTCCCCCTTGGGCCTCATAGCAGATCACTGAACCTCAGAGAGACCCAGACGAGGCCCCAGAAGTCCAGGACTCTCCATAGATGGCACCCCAAAAATGACACAGCAGAAGTGGCTTGTCCCAATCCACAAAGCTCACACCTAGGGCACCACCTGTCCTCCTCAGGTGCCAGCGCCCTGCCAAGCTCTCTGCATCCAGGGACCCAGAGGGCAGCTTGAAGCCAGGCCTGAGCACCTTCCTCCTGGGGGAAGAGCCAGGGAGAGCCCGAGAAGGACCTCTGACCRCCCAGGACAGGAGGAGAATGGGCAACGGCTCTGCAGAGTGTCCCCTGGTGGGGAGCGAGGAGAGGGCACACGGCGCACCCTGCCCTGGGGCTGGATGTGGGGAGTCYCCACTCACTGGGCCCCAGCACGCTGCGGGGTGTTCAGGTCATTGTGACCTGGCTTCAGCCCACTCAGGGACCAAYCATGTGTCCTAGGGCAAGTGATTAACCTCAGCCTCAGTTCACTCACGGGGAAACAGGGTGACAGTCACCCTTGCCTCCTGGGGTCCAGAGGATTCTGCGTGGCATCAGGCCCTTAGTCAGCGRCTGTCCACTGTCCTGACTGCCAGCTCCCATGGACTCCTGGCTCCAACCCTGCTCCTCTGTGTCCTCCTGTCCTGCTCCCCCAGGTCACTGTGTGGCCTTCCGCTCTCCCTGAGGGGCTTGTGGGGTCCCTGCAGGCAGCGGGTGGGACTGACAGCAGAGTCAATGGCATGGCCAGGAGGACCTGGAGCCTGGCCCAGAGGAGGCCATGGGGTCCGGCTGGGCACCCTGACTCCGGTGAGTCTTGGAGGAGCTGGTTTCCCAGGAACGAGGCCTCTGGAGCTGGGGCCTCCTCCTCCATTTTCCCACTTCCCCTTGCTGCCTGCCTGTCTGTCCAGCCCTTCCGAGACTCGGAAGATTCCCAGAGCTGTCTACAGCAGACCAAAGGAGGCCYGGCCAGCCAGCTTGAGTGTGCAGTGAGACAGCTGGGCAAGTGGGCAGTGGCGGGTGGGGGGTGGTGGTCAATTTCCAAAGGGAAAACACTAAATGTGGGTTTCCCAGACTTGGAGGCAGGTACGGGGCTGCCCCTTGTTGGACTCCATTTCTTTTCTATCAACACAGACAGGGGTGGAAGTGGAGACCAGGTCAAGAAGGAAACCTCCAGCTGCAGCAAGGGAGGCCGAGGGCAGATATAAAGAGGGACATCCCAGGTAAACCGATGAGGTGTTCAGATTGGGGTCTGTAAATCCAAATGTCCCCATTCCCCCATCTTGAAACGGGAATAATAGTTTCTACATCCTAGGGTGGTTGTGAGGATTAAATGAGGTAAAGCATGTAAAATACTTGCAACAGCGCCTGCCTCACACGTGATAAGCCAACTCATTAACGTATTATTAAAGGCTATTAGTACTCTACTTTTGCCTGGGAGGTTTGAAGGGATCAGATGATGGATGATATGATGCATGCAAAGCACACAATTGAGAGCTCAGTAATGTTCGTAATTTTTTTTCCCCCTCTTGGGAGACCCCAGAGCAAGATCCTTTCTAATCTTGGGTTCCCAAGGGCACATCTGCCCAACTGGGGACTTGCAGATAGCCCGCCCTGGGCCCTGGTGACAACCCAGGAACTGTGCCTGTGGCTACCTACAAAAATCCAGCCCAGCCAGCCTTGCCGGGCCCGCTCTCAGAGACCTGAGGCCTGCGGCCGGGAGACGTGGACAGGGGCCCCAGGGTCCAGGGTCCTGCGCAACCTGCCCACCTGGATGGAGTAGGTCGTATTGTAGTCGCTGTAGAGGTTTTGGACGGCGACGTCGGAGCCGTTCACAGTGCACGGGCTGTAGGGCTCGCCCATGCGCTGCAGCTTGTCCTGGAGCAAGAGAGGTTGCTCAAGAGGACCCCTGATCACCCCTGGAAGGCCCCCTCTGTCCGTCCCGCCCATCAAACTCGGGGGGGATGCTGAATGGGGCAGGGGAGTTGTAGTACCCGCAGGCGCCAGAGGGGGCGCCAGAGGGCTCAGCCTCCGCCAGAGCGGGGCTCGCTGCAGGGTTCCCCCAGGGTCCGGGGCCTGGGGGGCAGGGCCAGGGCTGGGGCCCCGGATCCCCTCCTCTCGGCCAGGTTGGCCCTGACAGATGGGCTTCCACCCTCAGCCGCCCTCGGGCCGCGCTTGCGCCCCAGCGGTACCACCAGCACGCCGATGGAGGTCTCTGTCCCCGTCCTGGCGTAGATGCCCTCCTCTCGGATAAAGGGGTACGTCCTCTGCTCGTGAAGCAGCAGCCGGGCCCCGGCCGTGGAGGCGAGGAAGGGGACATAGTCCTCCTGGCCGATGTCCAGCACCAGCTTCAGACCTGTGGGGAAGGGGGGGTGAGGGGAAGCCCACCAGCCCCTGGTCCAAGCCCCCTGCAGCAAGGGGTGCCCCAGGGCCTGCGGAGGGGCCGGCAAACTCCAGACCCCAGATCGCCCCTGTCCCCTCCTAGGGCTGTTCCTGGCCCCCGCCCCCATAATCTTTTCCCCACAACAGGTAGATCTTGGAGACACAGCACCACCCACCCARCCACCCCACCCTGTGCCCTCTCACTCAGGCCCTCATTCTCCCCATTCGGGGCCTCTGAGCTCCCAGCTCCTTCCTGCTCTGGAGGCTGCCGGCCTCACCCTTCACCTGAACCTCCTGCTCTTGCTTCAGATCAAAGCCCCGTGTCTCTTCCTGCAGAAGTGACTGTCCACACCGGGTCTCAGGGGCTTCCCTAGCTCTGAAACTCTCCTTCCCGGCCCCTGCCTCCCTTGTGTGTTTCTCTCTTCCTTCCCCACCGGGCCCTTCTTGGGGGATCAGACCCGACCTTCTGTGCCCCTTAGTCCTGGCCTAGGTGGGCACTGGAGCGAGTCCCAGGGCTTAGGACAAAAAGGGCYGGCGTGGCCTGAGCCCTGGCCCCATGCTCAGAGCAGTGTGAAGTGCTGTAGGGACCCGATGCTGTTGGATGCTCCTGGGMGGCCCACGAGATGGGCACCATCATCATTCCCACTTAGAAGAGCAAACGAGGCACAGAGAGGTGAAGGGACTGGTCCAGACCACGCATGAAGGAGGCGGGGCCGCTGGGTCCTCCCCCAGGCTGCTGGCTCCTGGTTGTGATGCTCTGCCCCCTGAAGCAAGGGGTCCCTGGAGGACAGTGCTTTAAGGAACGGGGGTCACTGACCCCCTCTTGGCTAAGAGCCCTGATGGTCACTGAATGATGACCTGCTTCTTGGTGGGGGGGAGGGGAGGTCACAGTCTGAGGGGTGGGAGGAGGATTGGCTCCCACCTGTGTCCAGCTCATAAGCCTGAGAGCCACAGCCTGCCAGCCTGGCCCTGGGGGACAGGCCACCGCGCCCTGTCAGCCATTCTGTCCTTCCTTGCTTCCTTTAGTCCTCCGCGCCCTGTCCCTGGGGTTCCCTAGGCAGTGGGTAGGAGAGGCCAAGTGCGTGCCCTGGACTAATGGGTGGTCTCGGGGCAGCTGTCCAAAGGCTTCTCAGAGTCAGTCCCCTGCGCACGTGCAGCATTTTCTGCCTCCCAGGCCTGGCCAAGCAGTTCACCGCAGGGTGACAGAGTGACTCACAAGGTGACCTCTCTGTGCGGTGCTACCAAGAGCCTCTTCTCCCAGTGAAGAGCTCCTGAGCTCAGGATCACCCGGGGAGTGAGGGGTGGACCTGGGATTCTACCTGGCCTGGAGCTTGACCTTGAAGCTGCACCTCGTCCCCAGCCTCACTTTGCGGGGCTGCAAAACGGGACACCGGCCCCTTTCCCCAGGGGCGCAAGCGTGGGGAGGGGGGGGGCTGAGAAGTCGCCTGGCTCCGCCTCCCCAGCCCCCAGGCAAACAGCAGGTGCTCCATTATGGCCACGCCTCTCTGCACTAACCCAGGTCTAACCCTGGGGGGTGGGGGTGGGCAGAGGGCTTAGAGCCTCCTGGATCTGGCCTCTGGATCCAGAACCAGGACTCACCAAATTCACTCCCCGGGTTGGCAGAGGGGAGCGCCTTCTCCATCATGCCCCAGTTGAAGATGTAGCAGTTGCCRTAGTAGGGGTAGAAGATGGCCGTGAAGTTCCTGAGAGAAGAGCCACYGGCTGGGGGAGGCACCGGCCTGCCTCCCCAGCCTGCAGAGGGGATCCCACCGCCCTCCCGCCCTCCCTGTGTTGCTCAGAGAGGCTCAGAAAGGGAGAGATRAGCAGCAGGTCATTCTGTCCATCCCCCTGCAGAAACCAGAGAGAGGTGACTCCCAGGATCCCTTGGGAAAGAGGRAGGAAGCGAGTCTCAGGAGTTGGGGGACAGGCTCTCTGGTTTAGCCATGAAAAAGAACTTTCTTAGGCGTTTGCATCTGGTCTCATAGACACCTCCAAAAAGACCTGTCCACATCCTAACCCCCTGGAGCCTCTGGATGAGGCCTTGTTTGGAGAAAAGGTCTTTGCAGRTATAACCAAAAATCTTGAGAGGTCGTTATCTGAGGTGATTCAGGTTGGCCCTAGAAGAGAATCCCCTGATGCAGAGAAGCCCACCATAAATGCTTTAAAAATACTTATCAACGTGTTTATATTGTTCTTTTATATTTAGCCAAAACAAATATAAGCTGGGGTGCAGCTTGGCACATCTGTGATCCCAGCAACTAGGGAGGCTGAGGCATGAGGATGGCAAGTTGAGGCCAGCCTCGGCAATTTACTGAGATCCTGTCTCAAAACCAAAAAAAAAAGGGTGGTTGAGGGATAAGCACAGGAAATCATGTTAAAAATTAACCGCTGTGCAGAACTGTCTATTAAGCCTTATATTCCGCAACACTTATTGAGCAACTTCCCACGGGCCAGGCCCATGCTGAAGGTTTCTGCACACACAATCTCACTTCATCCTCAAAATAACCTCATAAAGTCAAGGGCTGTTTTCACTGATTTTTCCCGATAAGGAAGCCATTTCCTGTATCTTTCATCTCAGCCTCTGGGTCAGCAGAATGAGGTGGGTCCAGCCCAGGCCGCCGAGAAATCAGATCTGAGAACTGTCCTGGGCTGGCTCTGTCGTGGCTGACAGAGCTGAGCTGCTTTCTCTGCCTCTGAGCTTTGCCTTCCTCCTTGGTGAAAGGGGAATGAGGAAGAAGCCACATTTTTTCACTCAACAAACATTGACTGAGGTGGGTTCCCCGGGCGAAGGCAGTGAGGAGAACTGGATAGGGCTGGCCTGAGAAGCACCTGCCACCCAGACCCCTGCCAAAGCCTCTGTGTGGTGTCCCCTCCGCCCCCCTTGCTGCCTGCCAGCAGTCAGGGCCCCTTGTGGACAACTGTCAATCAGACAAGCCACGCCCCTGCTCAGCCTTCCCTSGCTGCTCTCAGAAGAAGATGCAAACTGCAGCCTTGGGTTTCTACCCTCCTCCACCAGATGTTTCCAACCCCAGCCCCTTGGCACCTGCTCTGAGAACTCCCATGGCCCCTCCCTGATGTCAAGTGACAAAGGTTGAGGATCAGTTCCTAGAACCTCGGCTCTGACAAATCATAGCCCACCTGCCCGGCCTCCCTCACACCCGGCCTCTAGATTTCCCCCGATCGACGGCACCCCAGTGTGACATCATCTTGCTCACTTGTCATCTGCCTCCCTCCCGCTTGGGCTGCGAGCCCAGTTTGGCCGTGTGACCTTGTATCTGAAGTTGGGCAGCTCAAGGTCAAGAGCAGGTGACCTGGAACTCTGTCCGTTAGCAGCCGCTGAGCTCGGGGACTTCAATGCTCTGTGTCTCCCTTTCCCTGTCTATTACTATGTCCCCGGGATAGTGGCAGCAGCCACCCTGCGGGACCGAGGTGTTAGACGCCTCACAACGTGTGTGGTGGCTGTTACCGCTGACAKGGCTGCGCCCCGGGCCTGACACAGGACACAGACCCTTAGTAAATATTTGTTGAATAAACTGTGATGTGTGATAAGGGCATCTCGGAGATAAGCATCAGGAGGGACACCCAGTTCCCCGTGGGGACAGGGGACTGACAGACGCAGCCRTGGAGGTGGCAAGGCCTAGGGACAGGGAGGGGACAGGGCCGTCAGGCAGGGGCACCACTTGGGCCAAGCCTGGGGGGAGGAAAAGCTGTGGGCAGCCCCCGGACACCAGGTGGGATCCGGGCTGCGGCCACGGGGGAGGGGCGGGCAGGACAAACCGGCCAACGCCAGGCGGCTGACCCCGCCCCGGCCACGGGACACGGTGTTCCCCAGGAGCTGCGAGGGCAGATGCAGCCTGGAGGAACGCGGGTGTGGCCAGGTCCCTCCCGCCCCGGCCTCGGCCTCGTAGTGGGTTTCCTCCTGGGTGCCAACTGTTTGCTTGTTGATCATGCTCTTGGCCCTGGGAGGCTGCTCCYAGCACCGGTCCCCTCCGGTTCCAGAGCCAGGTTTCCCTCCAAAACCCTCTCCTGGGACAGGAACCAAGCGGGCCCAGGGACACCAGCAGGTCTCCAGAAGAGGCAGGGAGAGACRGTGTGCAGGGGTGGCCTGAAGTGCCAGCTCCTGGGGAGGCTGAGGCAGGAGGATCGCCGGAGCCCAGGAGCTCCAGGTTCACCTGGGAAACACAGCCAGACCCCCCTGCCCCCCCAAAATCCCAAAACTAGGAAATGGGCCATCTCAGGCAGAAGCAGTATAACAACTGGGGTACTGTGTGGTTGCAAGTCAGCTGATCCCTGAAGCAATAAAAAAAAAATTTTAAAAGGTATATCAATGCCCAGATCCTATTTTCTAAATAYGATTCTCAAATAAAAGGACACGGGGATCCTTGGAGAATGGCTCAGGCACCTTGTGATGTCAGAAGGTAAGGAAGTGCTGAAAATAAATTTTTTTTGGAAGATTGGGATATATCAAATGATGCAGGAGGTAACTGGAGGAGCTGTCAGTGGTGTTGAACCAGAGCCTAAATATAAAGGCGTTCATTTTGGTATAATTAAATGTTTGAATGAATAAATAGAGAAGAAAAAAAAATAAATCTGTCTTTTTATGCAGGAGATTGAACCCAGGGGTGCTTTACCGCTGAGCTACGTCCCTAGTCCTTTTTATTTTTATTTTTATTTTTAATTTTGAGACTGGGCCTCACTAAGTTGCCAAGGCTGGCCTTGAACTTGCGATCCTCCTGCCTCAGCCTCCCGAGTAGCTGGGACCACAGGCATCCACCGTGGGGCCTGGCAAAAATAAATCTTTCTTAGAGGAAAAATTCCAGATCCTATCTRTGCCTCTCTCCAGGAGAGGTGGAGCTCGATTCTCTCTGCCCTGTCCACCTGTCCTTGTCCCCATAGTGTAGGCTGGACTTAGGGACGCCTTCTGGAGTGCCCAGGGAGGGGAACGTGGTCCSTCTCCTGTGGAAGCTTGTGTGACCCCAGAGCGGAGGGAGGGTGCTCATCCTGGGCGACGCACAGAGAAGCAAACTGCCCAGAACAGGTTTCCCCACCCGGACGGCTGGTCAGGGTCCAGCTGTGGCTTGAGCGCCCCTAAGACCACGGTACTATGCCCCAGAGAGAGAGGTCGGGGTCAGRGTGGGGGCGGAGGGTCACGCCGTTGGAGCCCAGCGTTGGCAAAGGCAGAAGGACATGCTCCTGGGCCACCTTTGAGGGCCCAGTGGGGAAGACCCGGGTCCAGTCAGCTCTGGGAGGGAGAGACAGCCCAGAGACAGGTTGGGGGAAWTTCTGGGCCAGGCTGGCTGGGGGGTGCCTTTCACGCAGAGGGCTGACCGGGAGGGAAGAGAATGGGTCTTCCTTTCCAGCGAGTAGCAGAGTGACGTGGGGTGGGCCTGGCCCTGGGCTGCCCGCTCTGCCACTGCCCAGCTGTGTGACCTCAGAGAGGTGACTTAATCTCTCTGGGCCTCAGTTTCATCCTCTATAAAGCGGAGGGTGGGGAAATAACAGGGCGTTTCTCGGGGGCTTTTAGACATAGGGTTAAAGCAGTTTTATACTGTGAAGCGCTTACAGTAGAGCAAAAGAGGGGCCCAGAGATGCCAATAATCTGAAGTCCTTGTCACACACAGGTTTAGCAATCATCGCGACTTGTTGGAATCCGGCCTGCAGCCTGCTAGCCAAGCGGTAGCCTGCAAGGCGGCCTGCGGCCCCTGGTTTCTTCCACCTGTGGGGGGCCCCCTGCAAGTTCCCCGGAGGCCGGCCTCCCTGCCTCCAGCCCCTGCCACGGGTGAGGCTCAGCCTGTGACGGTGAGGCTGAGCCTGGYGCCCTGACCCAGGCACCACCTAACCCCCTGCAGCCCCAACCAAAGCACCCCCAGAGCAGGGGACGGCGGGTGGCTGGGGCGGCTCACCGGTGGCTGCAGGGCTCGGTCCCGAACAGGCAGGCCAGGATCATCCGCTGGGCCGAGTAGCCCATGGCCACCAGGTCCTGGCGCGGCACCTGCGCGAAGATGTTGGTGGCCTGCAGCACGTACCACTCGGTCACGGCCTGGGTGGCGCTGGTGAAGTTCCAGAAGGCGCACGAGGTCCCGTTGAGGCTGCACTGTGGGGGCCGAGGGGGTCCCGTGGGTGTGGGGGCTGCTGACCGCGCTCCGCCTCTGCGGGTCCCCAGCCACTGCCCCCAAGGCACCCAGCCGGGCGAGGGTGACCCGTGTGCTCCCTGCTCACACCCCCCGCGGCGGGTCACGGGGACCTCCATGCGTGGTCACCTGCACACACAGGGCCACCTGGTCCCCCACCCAGGGCCACACAGGGCCACGTCACAACGGTGTGTGCTCTCGTCCGCCACCAGCCTCAGACACCTGGATCCACACAAGCCGGACCCCATTCACACGCGTGTGACCTCACACCCACGAGCCCCTGAGCAAGTGCCCCCGGGCGCACACTCCCACGGTTCCCTGGAGGCTGCACGGGCCTCGGGGAGGCTCAGACTGGGGCGTCTGTCCTGGGGTTGGTCAGACGGAGCCACGGACCTCGCTGGGCCCGTCCAGCCCTGGTCACTGCAGAGGTGCAGGGTGGCCGTCCCCTGGAACTCTGCCAGCCGTTGGGCCTCTGTGGGCCCCCGCCGGGGACCTTCCTTCTGGAACCAGGTCAGAGGGGGCCTCGGCCTCCCAGTCACAGCCCTGCAGACCTGGCCAGACCCGGGCAGTGTCCTCAGGCCACCCCGAGGCTCCTGCCTCTGCCTGGGAAACGGTGGCCCATGGTCATTTAGCCACATCCCCAGCCTCTTAAATTCAGGTTCATTTGCGACAGGGTCTTGCTAAGTTGCCGAGGCCTTGAACTGTGATCCTCCTGCCTCAGCCTCCCCAGCTGCGGGGACTGTAGGCACGCGCCTGGCTAGTATCATCCTCCTCATCCTGGAGAAGCTGAGGCCCAGAGAGGTCACGGAAGGCATAACGGCAGCACAGCCTTTCCTCACCCCCAACACACGCGCGTGCACACAAACACACACACACACACACACACACACACACACACTGCTGCCCCTGAGAGCCGTGCAGCCCCCGGGGGTGGGCTGGCTTTTCAGACGAGAACCCAGGCGTCGGCAGCCCGGGAACTGCCCCTCCGGGCAGCAGGGCCCTGGGCAGAGTCGACAGAGCTCCTGGCCCCAGGCCCTTTGCTGGCTTGTGTGGAGCCAGGTCATCCAGGAGAAGAGGAGCCCGTGCTCCCAGTGCAYCGGGGACCACTCACTAGTCTCATGGCCACTTTGCACTCCTGGGCGCTACACGTCCTTCCCGGGGCTGGGCTGCCGCTTGCTGAGCCATTGATGGTGTTGTCACTCCCCAGGAGGTCGAGGACCACGGGGTGGCGGGGGTCCCGCTCATCGATGAGGACCAGGGGCGTGTGGTTCCAAATGGTCAAGTTCAGGGTGCGGCTGGCGTTGGCCCGGCCCGGCTCGGGGTCCACGATCCTGTCCAGCACGGCCTCCATCAGCTCGTCCAGGTCCCTCAGCAGGTGCTTGACTTTGGAATACCTGGAAGGGGAGAGGCCCCGTCGGGTGGGCAAGGGCGCCGAGCAGGGGGACAGGAACCTGGGGTCCTCCTGCCCCCGGCGCGGTGCCACCAGGTCCAGAAGGATGCCCTGCCCRAGTGTCCTTCTCTCCACCCACCCGCCCACCCACGTGCCTTCCCACCGCCCACTCCTTCCTTTCTTCCTTCATTCACGGAGTCTTTAATGAACACCTACTATGTGCCAGGTACTGGTCCCAAGGGGACCGCTTCTCTTTCCCTGTGAAACTCAGTTTGCGGTCACTGATCGCTGGCCACRTGCCAGATGCCAGGCGCTTTCTGTTTTGCCACATTCTATCATCGTGATCAGGAGGTGGGAATCCTTTTCTGGGACTTTCTTTGGGATGAGAATGTCCTCCATGGCTTGGCCACATTGGCCCTCCTTTCTGTTCCTGGAACACCTGCCCCAACCCCCTGCCTGCCCCAGGGCCCTTGCATATGCACCGTGGCAGCCACTTGGGGCGCTGTCTCACTTCCTCTTCACTTTTCTCTGACCCGCTGCCTGTCCTCAACCCTCATGAGTTTGATTCTCCCTGCAGGTCCCCTTCAGCAGCCTTGTTGTCAAATAGGGAAGGGGCAATATGTCAGAGCCGTTAAAAAGTGGAATCAGATCAGCCCTGGGTTCCCGTCTCACAGTGGCCCACTGTGCATCTCTGGGCAAGTTCATGCACCTCTCTGAACCTCCATCTCCTCACCTGCAGATTGGAGCTCGTACAGACATAGCGCCCGCCTCTGGGGAAGTGGTGTGGGTCACCATGAGACCAATTCCCCCAAAGGACCCTCGGCAGCCCGCCTAGCACACCCCAAGCACTCCCTGGGGAGCTTAGAAGTGTCACAATCATGACCCATCCCACATTGAGACCCGCTGCAGCCCGTCTGCTCTGGTGSGGGGAGAGGTGGGGGCTTGAGCTGGTCTCTGCGGCCTTCCCAGCGCCCAGATCAGTGCGGGCTCCTCGCGGCTGCCCTGCCCGGGAAGCCCAGGTGCACTGTGCAGACAGACAGACAGACCCCGGAGGCGGGAGGCCCGGGAGCGAGGGAAGGGGAAGAGGACCCAGAGGCCGCTCCAGGGCCCACCTACTGGAAGGGGCTGGCGTTGCAGAGGGTGACGGCCGGGAAGTCCATGGTCTTGAAGCCCAGGGAGAGCGCCACGCTGACCTCCCAGCCCAGGTAGGTCCTGACGAAGACGCCCCACTGCCAGCACACCAGGCCGGCGAAGAGCAGCGTGAGCAGCAGCCACAGGGCCTGCTTCTTGGGGCCCTCGCAGATGATGCGCTTGGGCCCGTGCGTGTTGGTGTTGTTGCAGTACCACACCAGCAGCTCCTTGTAGCTGTAGCCCGGGCCCTTCTGCAGCCGGTGCAGCCCYTTGAGCAGGTACTTCTTCACGTGCATGGTGGCCCCTGCGGAGACACGGGGGCCGTGGGACACCGCCCTTCCTGCTGTCCTTCCTGCCCTCCATCCCTCCAACCGTCCCACCAAAAAAAAAAAAAAAAAGCACTTATTGAGCGCCTGCTGTATACCAGCCACGAAATGGGTCCTATGGAGCGCCTGCTGTATACCAGCCACTAATTGCTCGATGATGAGCAAAACAGAAGTTTCTCGCTGCTGTGGGAATTCACACCCTACTGGACAGGCTACTTCTCAGCTCCTCGGGTGTTCCTTGTGCAAAACAGGGATAATGATCATGCCAAATTCTATTATTATTATTGTTATTATTATTATTATTATTTGCAGTACTGGGGATTGGACCCAGGACYTCAGKCATGCTAGGCAAGTGCACTACCCCCGWGCCGCACCCCCGGCCCCATCCTGCCTCATTCATAGAATCCGCCGAGAGGGTGACATCGGGAGTCGCAGACAAAGTGCCAGCCATCCAGGGGACCTGGCACGGACCCGGGACTCCACGTGCTCGCTGCCCTGCCCAGTGGCTGGCCGTGGCCAGGACGATGTCAGTGAACCCACTGCATCCGACGGCCAACCTCAGATGGTGACAGGCAGCCTTGGGGYCCTGTCCCCCGAGACCCCAGGGGCAGGAGGGGGCGGTGGGTGGTGAAGCACCAGGTGACGGCGTCTGGCTTTGAACCTGGGCTCGGCCGCTCTCTGGCCCTTTGAGCCGATYACTCTCTGGGCGGTCAGTTCCCGGGGCTGGGAAGTGGCCGTGATCCTCATCTCCCACCCGACAGGCTGCTGGGAGGCAAGAGCCACCGCGTGGGCACTGCCTGGCGGCCAGTGTCCCTGCTGTTGTTAGGCGGGGAGGGGCTGCCCAGGCGACGTCCCAGGGCGCAGGCTGGGGGGTCAGGACTGACGGGCCTCCCGGGCCACACTGGGGACTTGAGATTTGTTGGGGGTGGACGGGGACTTCGGGGGTGTGGGGGGGTGAGGTCATCGGGGTTGGGAAAGAACATTCCAGCAGCTTCGCGGGTACTGAYTGGAATGGGGTGAGGCCGGCTGCCCAGCGTCAGGTGGCTGCTGTGGGTGAGGGAGGAACGCTCTCCCAGACTCCCAAGGTGACAGGAAGACCGGTGTCACAGGGCCTGGTGGGCGTGGCTTCCCAGGAAACMCAATTCCTCCCTGCTCTGTCCCCAGCCTGGAAGCAGGACACTCGAGATGGATTCCCAGGGACAACTGAATTCTACCTTCRATGCAGATCAAAGGCCCCCGCCTCCAGGGAGCTCTCCGGAGTTCACATGGGGACGACCCTCACCCTCCTCAGAAAGCCACTCCGTGCTGGGGACACCATGGCAGGCAGCGTGGCRCCTGCTGGCCCAGTGGCCTCTCCCCCTTGCTCTGATGTGGCAGGGGGACCCCCCTCCCCCAGGTCTTCCTCGGTGTGACTTGCCGGAACCCTCCACCCCAGCTCTGGGGGACGCTCCCGTGATCAGTGTTATACGGACCATCGGGATTTAGTTCCATCACTCAGTTAAAGACAAAGTCAAGGAAGAGACCTCGACTTTTTTTAGCCAAGACTTCTAGGCTAGAGATATTTGGCACCACACGTATGGGAAGCCCGCCTGAGAACAAAACCAACACCGGAAAGCAGAGCCTCAGAAGAGGTTCCTGRCCACACCATCTGGGTATCTGGATCCAGCCGTGCCTGAAAGCAACTTATYCCTGGGATAGGGAAACCAAGACATTTCCTCTGTGTTCTTAGGTCGGCTGATCCACACGGGACRCCTGTCATTTGCAGTCATTAGAATGTTAACAAAAAAAGAAATTCACCTGGTTTGACTCTGTGCYTTAGTTATTAGTGCCCAGGGCTCCCCCCCACATGAGATCTCAAACCCACTGAGGACAGCAGTTTTGCGTCTTCGACCATGTCCAGCATGGGGCCTGGCACTCCATCAAACAGCTCAATAGATCATGTCGGGTGACCGTATCCACACGGGGGTYTTTAAGCACCCACCCATGTTCAGTGCTGGACTGATTTGGGGCACGGYAACATCCCTGCCCTTTCTTCCCTTGTGGAATGAGATGGGAGTGGTACAGGCTTCCTCTCCAACCCCGTGCCTCTGTCCCCTGATGGAGATCCAGCTCCAAGTACCTCCCCTGGCCGTCAAGGCTAGAAGATGGACGTTCAGACCCTCTCCCCCTGCATCTCTGCTCAGCTGGTCCATTTCCTGCCCTGACATCATAGAATAATAAATAATAATAATAATAATAATAATAATAATAATAATAATTGTCGTAGCAACAATGACAAGAGCCACACTGAAGCACCACGTACCACCACACAGGCACCAGGCAAGAGGCTCGGGTTGTTTCGTCCTCACACATTATTTTCGGCGACTCTAAGTGTGCCCGTGCGGAAAGAGCAGGGCTTTGCCAGTCTCGTGCAGACAAAGAGCCCGTTTGGCTCCAGCGAGCAGTTTGTGGGAGAGGTAAACTAAGGGCCTCTCTAAAAAACCCCCACCTTTTCTCTTCTCACTTAATAATTCTGACGCTTTAAGGGTGACCTTGTACTCCTGGCTCGTAGATCTGGATTTTTGCTTTAGGTTCCAAATAAAGTAACAAAATCAAGTCCCCCCCCCCACCCCCAAAAAAGTGTACGTGGGGGGGTGTGGGGGGACAGATTTAAAGAACGAGATTAAGTAAACCGTGGTATGACCTGTAGCCAAAGTTGTGAGCACTTGGGAGGTAAGGAACAGGGCTGTTCGACGCAGGCTGAACCTTAACTAGCGTGGTCCCTTGGGTCATTAGCCAAGTGAGAAAAATAAATCAACAAACACTACAAACAGCCTCAGATTTCACCTCCAAGCGATAAGGTCTGTGTTTGGAGTGTATACACCGTTGGGTGGTGAGAGGGTTTCCATCAGTTTACAGTTTCAACCAACCCAGCAAAGTGGAAATGGAGTCCCCGTGTGGACCTGGCTGATGGGCAGCCCCTGCCCGAGCCCCAGAGAGTCCCGGACTGCTGTCTAGACCTTGGCCATGAACCTGGGAGAGCGTCAYTGGCAACAGATTCCGATACAATGTTGCACACAGCAGTGTTTGTTTTCTTAGAAGAGGCAACGACTACTCCCTTGGGGAAACATTGTTTCCCCCCACCCCAYCCCCACAATTTGATAACACAGAGCCCAGAGCTTTGGCCCAAGTATAACTGTGTGTCTGAGCTTCTTATTTGGACAAAATCCAAAGCAATGCTATTCTAGGGTCAATTTTTATATTCCTCTTGTGCMTGAGAGATTGCAACTGGATAACTCAAGACCAAAAAATGTTTTATTGGTTGTCACTGTTTGCACAGTATTTATTTACTTCAATATTTTAATAATTCCCACTTTAAAAAAAAAAAAAAACTTCATTAATTTGCAAGGCAAATGATTCACCCATTTATAAAGTGTAAAATTTGTATGCTCCTAGAGTTGTTCAACTAGTGCCACACAATCAAGATTAAAATATTTAAAGAAATTTTTAGTTATAGATGGGCACRATACCTTGATTTTATTTATTTATTTTTATGTGGGGCTGAGGATGGAACCCAGTGTCTCACATGTGCTAGGCAAGCGCTCTGCCACTGAGTGACAGCCCCAACACCAAGATTAAAACATTCTGATGGTCGCAGTGGCCCACGCCTGTCATCCCAGAGGCTCGGGAGGCTGAGGCAGGAGGATCGCAAGTTCAAAGCCAGCCTCAGCAAAAGTGAGGCTCTAAGCAACTCAGTGAGACCCTGTCTCTAAATAAAATACAAAATAGGGCTGGGGATGGGGCTCCGTGGTTGAGGGCCCCTGAGTTCAATCCCTGGTACCAAAAAAAAAAAAAAAGATTTTTTTTCTTTTCCCCCAAGACACTCCATACCCACCAGCAGCTGCTTTTCCTCTTTTCACCCCACCTCCGCCCCCTGGCAAACCTGGATCTATTTTCTGTCTCTATTTTGGACAYTTCCAATAAATGGAGTCAGACACTCGGTGGTCTCTGGGGACCTGCTTCTTTCACTTGGCAGGTYGTGGGGATTCACCCTGCCATAGCTAATGCTAGTACTTCATTTCTTTTACTGCCAAGTACTGCTCCATGTTACAGATAGACCGCATCTCATTTATCCACTCATCGGGCGATGGGAATTCGGGCTGCCTCTRCCCTGGGGCTATTCTGATAATACCTCCCTGGATGATCACAGGAGAGTTTTTGTGTGGACACGTTTCCGTTTCTCTCCGGTGTTTACCTAGGGGTGGATATACCCACGGTCCGTCCTGCAATTCCATGCTGAACCTTTTGAAAAATTGCCAGTCTTTTCTGAAATGATGGTACTATTTTACAGCCGTGTGCCAGGCTTCCAATTCCTCCAGATCCTTGATGATTGCTTGTTATTTTTATCTGTTTTTTTAAGAAAATTATTACATTCATCTTTGTGRGTGTGAACTGGTATCTGACTATAGTTTGGATCGCGCTTTTCTTGATAGCGAATGATGTTGAACATCTTTCCATGTGATTAGAGTCATTCTATCAATTGCATGGTCCATATATCATCTCTGGAGAAGTGACAATTCAGATCCTTGGCAGATTTTTAAATTGGATTTTGCGTCCTTTTGTTATTGGGTTCTAAGTGACATATATATATTCTGTATACAAGTCCCTTATCAGACATAGGATTGGCAAAAATTTTCCTCCATTCTGTGTTTGTCTTATCACTTTCTTGAAGCACAAAGGATTTTGATGATTCTCAATTTGTCTATATTTGCCTTCTTTTTCTTTTGGTGGTCCTGGGGATCTAACCTAGGGTCTAGTGCATGCTAGGCAAGTACTCGGCCACTGAGCTACATCCCAGTCTTTTTTTTTTTTTTTTTAATTTGGAGACAGGATCTTGATAAATTGCTAGGTCCTTGTTAAGTGGGAGAAAGAGGCTGGCCTCCATCTTGTGATCCTCCTCCTTCAGCCTCCTGAGCTGCTGAGATTACATCTGTGAACC